AAAAAGGTTCTACCAAAATTAACTTTTAGAGCTTATTCAGATCACAAAGTGATCTAAAGTATTCAAATAACTTATATAGAACAGTAGTATAAACCGTCCAAGTATGCCATATGTATCCTGCTGTAAATCCTGCGGTCATGACAAAAATACATATTTGTCGGAAAAAGTGAAACTAGGATTAAGAAAAAAATAACGGAAAGAGTACTGCTCTAAAAGCTGAATAAATGATCCCATGTAGCCATGCCTCTCAAATTCTTAATAGAAACGTTGCTTAATTGACTGATTGAAAAGCAAGTCAAGATCTACCAATTTCATACGCCAATGATTATGTGCCATCTCCAAGTGGAAGTTTTATAGGGTCATTTATTCATCCTCTGCATTATTAGTGACTGCATAGAACAGATAAAAATTCCCAAGCTGTAGCTGAAAGCCTGAAACTTTCTAACTTGTACTGTCTGCCTATTTATTTACTGCATTTGTTTGTGTTTTTCTTTTGCCTTCATCATTATTCAGTTATTTGCTATATCTTAATTTAAGAGTTACTTTTAATAGAAACATGTATTAGTTTGTTGCATTATCTGATAGAATTGTTGGTCAATGTTTACAGGAAATGATTGAATTGGACGCCAGGCGCGAACTTGTTAAACAAAATATTGCAAGTATGTAATTATAATTTTTATTTCAATCTGATTACCCTGGTTATGATAGCTTTTTTGCTGGATAGGGCATAAAATATAATTACTACCAGAAATTACAAAAAACATTAACTATCTAAATATCGAGTTGTTGGGTCTATGTTGTCATAATTGCTGCCCTATAAATCTGAAAGCACTGTTGTTTTCCTTATAGAAGTTTTTCATGATTTGAATTCTGTTGCAGTCTCATTTATGCTGATGGTTTTCTTTTCCTTGATCATCTAAAGTATGTTTAATGGGGGATCAAATTGCTCTTGTGGTTGCTTGTAAAACAAATTTAACAGTCCACCCTCATTAATTCATGTGCCACACAATCACATTCTTCCCTCTCCTTGCACTTTTGCTGATGCCAAGCAATCTGATTAACTGCTTGCAAAGGAAATGTGGTTTTGGTAGTAACATATAGTCTTGTATGGACATCTCAGATGCTTAACATATAGTTATGTAATGATCTTTTTTTTTTTGGCTTAATCCATGCAGTCACGCATAAAGGTAATGTAAATAATCAGGCATACATATTTGTCTACTAATTTTATTTTTTATTACTGCTGAGGGACTGCTTTGATCCTCTTTCTTCTAAACCCATAACATCACTTAATGTGCATCAGCATCACTTAGTTAAGAGGCATTACTGATATCTATTCTTTACAAAGTTCTGAAGAAGAAAGAGGAAGAGGAAAGGAAGTCCGGTGTTCGAAAAAGCAAGAGCATAGGTAAGCTAGTTTTCTTATGTTTACTAGCTTGTGGATTGGATGTTGGCCAAGAACCACAATTTTAGATGTCTTGTTCCTGAAATTTATTTCATTCTTTAACAGACAAATCAGTGTTTATATATTTCCCAACTGTTTTGCATGTACAATAGGAAACTCTATCTGTAATATCAATTATTTACAGGATTCATTACTATTAGAGAAGGGATTTTTGACTTTTGCTTCAAAGAACTATGAAGGTCCCTAGTCTGTACAAGGATAATTATTGCAATCCCATTTTTTATGATAAATTGATGCATTTCTTTAGTTATTTACATATTTAATCCAAAAGGAATGTGAAAATCCAACTTATGCTTATTAATGTGTTTTGAGCCAAAAAAAGAACCACTTGCTTTTGCCTTAATAGTTTACCTCTAATTGGAAGAAATGATGAAACAAAATGTGCTTAACCAAGGATAGCATCAGATTACTTGAGCATCTTGTTTATCAATTCATTCTACTGCTTAATTAAGCTCTTGAATCATGTTCTAGAATTCTTCTATCTGGTAATAGATGTGAGGCTAGCATGAAGGCATGTGCTGGAACCATAATGTAGGAAGATTAAGCTTTGAAACCCATAAGTAGATTAACTGGAGATTTGTAGCAAGAATTTTGATTTATCTATCTGAAAATTTATGTAGACAAGCTAAGGAAATGTGAACTTTGTAGTGCCCACCTGCTTAACCAAATGCAGTAGAAACTAGAGTTGTAAAGTTTGATGACCTGAAATATTGTGTATGAATCCTGATTTGTATTTAATAAGTTTATCTAATCAGGCATGGAAATGGGTTCACTAGATGTACTTAAATTCCATATTAAACCTGGATCTAAAGATTATTTGTTTCAGATCCGAACCAAATCTGGCCAAATGACATTCTTGGTAAAATGAAAAGAAAAATGTTGAGGGAGGGATTATAGTGGTTGTTGATGATGATTTCCTTTTCTTTACCTTCCTTTTTGTGTGGGTTACAGAGAGAGGTTATGTAGGACAAGCTAAATAGATCTAAAATTGATGCAAAATTAAATTATTTTGTTTATAATCTAATATCGTTTACAACAACTGGATATCAAATTGTGAAGGCAAGTAAGCATTTCATGGCAAAGTTTGTTTCAGGGTTGTGAAAAAGGGGTTAATGTGGTAACTCAAAGGCATAATTTTCTCAAAATAGAAAGTATTATGTTTCTGGTAACCTTTTGAAAAGAGAATAAGCTTTGTATATGCATTAAACACATAAAAAAAAACACTCAGCAAGAATCAATGGTCAATGTATGATGAAGCTCATTTTGGAAGTGTTCCCAAGTCCCAAGCACAAGAAGAGTTTGCCCTTCTGGATTTGGCTAACCAATCATTTGTTCTATTAGCTTTGCTAGGTACATGGATGAGTCTACAAAATAATAACACCTTCTAATGAGGATTTAAAATTAATAATTATGGTTCTTCTATTCCAGGAAATGCCTTGGTTAGGAGATGCAGCCAAACCTTCAAATCAAATTTGATTTTAGTATATGCACCCTTTTTCTAAATCTCGAAGTTTCTCATGCATAGCCCAAGTTTTGACATTAACGAAAGTCCCAAAAGACATCTGCTACACATTAAAACCATCCAGATCGTTTCTCAATTGTAACTTTGTGGGGGAGATCTTAAATTTGAAGATACAAACTAGCAATTAGATTAGGGAATGACAAGAAATCAATGCTAGACATATTGTCTAGCCTGTATTCCTGCAAAGAGTCTTTTTAGATGGGAAATTGATGGGCTTGGGTGTAGGCTAGCAATATTCATCTCAAGGACATAGATGTGCAGTGGCTGATCAAACACATAATTGTGATATCAATTAGAAGTCATTTAATCGATTGATTATCGTGTTTCATGTGATTTGTATTTATGAATCACGAGGATGTAAATATTTTATTTGCTGATTGGTAAAGAGTTTTGGATCTGTGAACTTGAAGAATTTTCTCTAACCTTTTTATTTTGCTTGGTTAACATACTTGCTGACCATTGAACTGTGGGTAAAGGTGGATCTCCAGACCTGAGAAGTTTCATTCAGCAATTTCCTGATGCCTCTTTTGCTCCTAAAAAAGGTAGGTTCTATCTGTTAACATAGCCTAATTTTCACCATGTAGATAACATGCAGTTTTCATCTCATTTGACACTTCGTCCTACCATGATTGTTTCTAGTTGTTTTTCAAGCAACCTTATACTTTGGCGCTGCAGTGCTAGCTATTGATATTGATCTTAAAGATGAGATGATTATATTTATTTATCGAAATGACACACCACACTATTAAGCCTATTTTGAATTGTGGTTTTTTTTTAATATGTGCATGATCAGATGAAGTATCAGATGGAAAGGATGTTGCAAAGAAAGAAGAAAGGTATGTTTAAATTAATCTTCATTTAAGCAAGTCATTGTGATGTCTCATATTGAAGCTTAGTTATCTTAAATCTCTAATGTCATATGCACTTTTTAGTTTTTAGTACCTAGATTGAAAGCCAGCTGTTTGCAGTCAAACCATAGATCAGTAAAATGCTCAGCTTTGGTACATACCGATTGTTTGCTGAAAGTCAACCATTTTATCCTAGTTGTGTTTAAACTTTCCTTGTTTTGTATCACTCCTTTGGTTGTATTCTGCTGTAGCTTTGTCTGCAACAATCTAAGCTTTCATTTCACTTAAATATCTACAAGTGCCATTAGTTAATAACTTAAAACCGATGTGTATTAGTATCTTGTCAAATTAGAAGTTTCTAAGTGTATGACAGAATATGTTTGTTCTACAATGCAACAATTATGATCTAAGAAGTGACAGATAACAGATAAGAAAATACTTGCCTGAGTGGCTTGTCCAGTTTACATCAATAATTGCCTTGACAATCAATCAGCACTGCAACTACGAATAATTTTGCTCTCAAGTCTCAACTATGTTTTATGTTTCATACCAAATTTGAATCATGCATCTGTAGCTCAATCTCCAGCATAAGAATCCATTCTAACCTGAAATTTTCATTTCAGGTCTACAGAGCCAACAGGATCCGGCAAAACCTTCAAACCAGGAGCATGGCAGCCACCATCACCATGAAAGCCAACTTCACATTACCCAAGAGACCCTGTAATTTGATTCTTAGTATAGTCAACTCGAGCCATAAACCGCAACGAAAGCTGAAGGCTTTCTTTGTCCCATTAGATTTCTTTCATTCCCTAGCAAAATTCTTTTTGTGATGCCTCAGCTGGTAAACCCTGCCACTGCATGAAATCATAAAGCCTCAAGTCACACGTACCGAAGACGCTGCTCCAACCTCGTGCAACGGTAGACTTCCGCTACTTTCTACTATAAATTAAGGTATGGAATTCTTTTATGGTGGCGAAAGATGCACTACTTAATTGTATTCAAACTCACAAGCTGATACTTAAGCATCATCTCATTCTATGCAACTGAGAGAGTTGGAAACCAATGGGTCAGTTCACCCTCCATGTCGACGTGTAGCCGCATCGCGGCCACGGAGGAGACGAACAGGCGTTGACTCCCCGCGGAGGGCTGCACCGCGAACGCGGTGAACAGGGTAGTTCGGAAACACCGAACCAGTAGCCGACACGTGGACAGAGATGATGCGGCCCGGCGTTGACTATAAGTAACCGCCTTGTGCGGTTGACGCACGACTCTCATGGGCGGACTGCACAAGTTTAGACCACCAACGAAGCTCTTCGGTCTTCACCTCCATCGTACCCATCTCTCTTCCTGCACCACCGGCAACCGCCGAACCCCGCACTGGACCTCGTCAAACCACATCCTCCAGAATCATCCTCGCTTACTCTCCCTCGAGGGTTGCCCCTCGCTTCCCGGCCTTCGAGCCACCCTCGCCTTCGCCGTCGTCTCCGGTCTCTTCCACAACCCCTTCGTCTCCAGCCGCCTCCTCCTCCACGCCACCTCCTTCGACTTCGCCTTTTCCTCCCTAATTTTTCGATGTATGGAATCTCCGAACCTTTTCTCCTGGAACACCGTCATCAGAGCCGCCGCGGCCTCTGACGACCGGCGCCCCTCGGTCGCCTTCTCCCTGTACGCCGAAATGCTACAGAGAGCCACTCTTCCAGATAAGTACACCTTCCCTTTCTTGCTCAAGGCCTGCCGTTCCCCCTGTGATCTTGGTTATGGCAGACTATTCCATTGCCATGCATTGATCTTCGGTCTCGGCAATGATGCATTCATGCAGACTGCACTCATGTCGATGTACTTATCGTGTGGGCATTTAGTTGACGCACGTCACGTGTTCGATGAGATTACTCAAAGGGATGTTGTCGTCTGGACTGCGACGATCTCGGGTCTGGTCGATAGATGTTGCCATGAGGATGCTTTTGGGGTGTTCAAAGAGATGAGAATGTTCGACCAAGATGTCACTCCTAATGTGGCGACCATGGTTTCAGCCATGTCGGCGGTTGTGGGCTTAGGGTCTTTGGCTCTTGTCAAGAGCTTGCATGCTAACATGGAGAAGGTAGGTTTGGAAGGCGATGTCTTTGTTAGGAATTCACTGATCGATGCATATGCCAAATGCGGAAGCATTGCTTGTGCCTTGCAAGTGTTTGATAGTATGAGTGTAAAGGATTTGCATTCTTGGACAGCCATGATAACGGCTTTAGCTTCGCATGGCCTTGGCAGGGAGGCCATTGAAGCATACTCAAGGATGTGTGAAACGGGTGTGTTGCCAGATTCCACTACTTTCATTGCTGTCCTTTCTGCTTGCAGCCATGCTGGATTAGTGAATGAGGGGATTGAGATCTTTAATTCTATGGAAAGGGCTTACAAAGTTGTTCCCGAGCAAAAGCATTACGGATGCATGGTGGATCTTTTGAGTCGGGCAGGCCTCTTAGCTCGCGCATACGATTTCATCATAAGAATGCCCATGAAACCCAATTTGGCGATACTGGGTGCTTTATTGAGTGCATGTAGAGCTCAGAATGACTTAGAACTAGGTGAACTTGTTGCGAAGAAAATTGAGTCATTATGTCAATATAAGGGAGGTGCAGATGTCCTTTTATCTAACATGTATGCTGATCAGCAACGATGGCACGGAGTGGTTTCTATAAGAGAAGCAGCAAGAAAGGATGCAAAAAAGCCTCCTGCACAAAGCTGGATTTGAGGCAGGAACATACTTGATAATTTCTTGGTTGAATTCTGGTCACATCCGCATCCTAATTAGATGCTTTTACTGCAGGAGGGTCGAGAAGGTTCTTTGATATATGGCTTGTCTCTTCATGTGCTTGATCCTCTCTCATAATGGAATGCCCCAGTGGGAATGGAAGTAGCTTGATAAACTGCAGAAAGACAATGCAAGGTCTTTATGAAGCTTCTCAATTTCAAGTAGAAGTGGCTGATAGGACAAGGCTTTAATGATGATGGAGATTGGTACCAGTTGTTCTCTACCTGTGATTTTTAGAGCTTAATTTTGATGAATAAATAAGGAGATCTAGTGTCAACATGCCTTTTTTTTTCTAGCAAAGCAATTTTGGAATTATGACTTCATGATGCCAAAGCTGCTTGCTATTCATCATAAACATCAGAGGTTATGCGGATGAGAACGCAACTGCAAATTGAAAGAATTTATTTATTTCCATTGATTGGTTTATAGATGGAACTGGGAATTTAAGATATTTCTTTGTTTCCTTTGACCTTTATGGAACATTGGGCGAAAACATGGACTTTAGTAAAGCATATGCTTCAAACTAAGTTAGGATTAATCCATGGAGATTGATAGCAGTCACCCAGGGAGATTTTGGTGTATTGCATCTCATGATTTGTACTTGGAATGACTTGAGTGTGTTGGTCTTGGAAATAACATATAATGTAACAAAGTGGATAGGCTAAGGACATGGTTCATAAGGCAGTTTATGTTTTGTAAAATTCCTAATAGGTTATGCCTGTGATATTAAAGGTAGTTGTTCTCAGAGATATGTAGCCAGTTGGACCTATTTGACAGTAATATTTCCTGATTGATTTTATTTTAATATCCAAAATTTGTTGATTATCCAAATTGATTTGCATCTGATGATACTTTAGCAATTGAAACATTCTACTACATGTATTTCCAGGATGCACACAAATTACTTGAGCAAGTGGAATTTAACTACTGCAATGGAGGTATGCATGTCTGCTAAACAGAAGCTTTGTATATGCTAATGTAAAATTATAGAAGAGCATGCATAGCCAATAAACATAGAATAATTGCTTTTCATAAGAAAAAGAAATGTATAATATAGCAAAAAAATTCCTGGCGCTATCTTTTCTTTAATTTCTATTCTATTATTGAGGAATGTTTATAGCACTAGTTATTTAAAATTTAGATAAACAATTTCTATGTAAATATAAGTTTCTCACACATAAAAACTCTTCACATTCTAAAAACTATATATATATATTCCATTAGATATTTATCATTTGGTTATAGCTCTAAATAACACACACCATTTAAAAACTCATTATGATTAGAAAAATTCCATAGACATTTAGGCATCTAAATATTTAACACGAACCACCTAATCTTTACTTCATTAGTTATTATCAACTGAGTATTTCTGAATGGTGTTATGAAGTATGGTATAAGCGAAGATCTTAAGTCTTATAATTTTTAGCAGCAGCTGTCGGTTGTGTATGTATATTGTGGGCTTTTAGCTTAAAATATGTGTTTAGGGGCATAAATTGATATCAAGAACGTAAATGAGGTGGTTTTCCGACTTCTTTCATGCATATATCCATGTCAGTAGTTACAGCTCAACTTAAAGTTCCAAATTCCCAAAAAATAATTAGAAGATAGACCGGTCCATAATGGACCATTTGATATCACAAAGAGAAAATTATTAATAAGTAAATAAACAAATATTGATAGGCAATGACCGATAGATATGTAATCTGATTGGCACAATCCAAATTTGATTCTTAAAAGCAAACAAGCTCAAAAGTGTATCATCAGGGGGTGCAGCAGAGCACAACATGAGTCGATCAGCTCATAAACAAATATAGGGGTTGAACAAGCTGACTGACAGAATCCGTTTAGCATATATCAGATGAACTAATGAGTCAACATTGTTTGTAGCAAAAAAGAAGAAATGGCTACAGAGGCAGCACAGTAAAAGAAAGCAAGCAGAAACCGTCATCTACAAGTGTTGGTGGAGATTATGACTACATTGCAACAATCATGCACCAAATCAAGTTACTGATGATAGTCCTTCGTTCATTCGAGTTGACATCAAAACTGCACGGCGATCTCAAATTCCCGTCCATCTTTCTATCTCTATCACCTCATCTACGGAACGAATATTATGGTGCTGGACTTTGATGAGCTGGAGATCAGGAAACTTGGATCACCGAGCAATGATTGATGAGTTAGTCAGTCATCCAATCCTTGTTTTCAGCCAGATGTCTCGTCGTCCAAACCATTCTGCGAGGAAGCCTAGTCTTTCGTATCGTTGGGCATGACATTTTCAAACATAGGCTGTACATTAGAAAGTTAAAACAAACATATGATTCAGAAAGCCTAAGATCAGAGCTTTGCTTAGAGCAGGCTTAAACACTATGCATGCAAAGTCCGCAAAGCCGAGTTTCTGTTTACTTTGGACAACTACACCTTAGATTGTAATCATTTCTAACAAGAGATATTTGTGATTCTACCTGTCAGTCTTCACCTATGAAGTTGATTCTTGGGGCACAACTGTGAGCCTCAGGGTTTAGTTCGCCAGACTTTGGTTCTCCAAAGAGCAGTGCCTTCTCGTCGGATGTCTCGTCACTGAGTCGCTGTGTGTTGCCTGCAACATCAACTTGTCATCACCATTAGGATCTTAGCAGATTTTTGAGCTACTAGTATTACCTTGCCATGACTCTTCAAGACAGTGCTGTCCCTGATCGCCTCCTGCTGCCTCAACCATATTGCCTGATGATTCTTCGGTTAGACGCATCCCTTCATTTGCTCCTGGTGCCTCAACCATGTTGGATGATGATCCTTTCACTTGATGCATGCTTTGCTCTCCGCTTAGAAACCCGACAAGATTTGTACATCGATCTTCTGGAAGAACATCTAAGGTTGTTTGGAACGTTTGAAATGCTTCTTCTTTAACATCTGCACTCAGATTCTCAGCTTGTTTATCATCATCAACCACATGTTGGGATGCAGCTGCTGATGATTCCTCATTGGCATTATTAACTGAGCTTTTGGACAAAGTCTGCAAAGTTTTAGCTTGGACCTCAGCCAGCAAATCATCTATATCCCTTGGTGCTACTTTATTTGTACTGAGCCGAGGATCTGTATCATTTGGTGCCACTTTATTTAAACTAAGCTGGGGATCCGAATCATTTGGTACTACTTTATTTGTATTGAGCTGACGAGAAGGCTGAGGAAGACTAGAGGTCACAAGCATGGGGTTCATGGTTTGTGAAGCAGCAGCAGCAGGTTCCCTTACCTGAAGGGGCAGAGCAACAGACAATGGCACAGGTACGGGATGAATTGGTACTGAAACAAGTGTCTGATCATGTGATTCAACCACTGAAGATGGGGTCCCATTTGGTGTTGCCATCGGAAGCAATGGTGCGATATCATTCTCCGCCGAAATAGGAACACAGAGGCGTGGATCAAATACCAAACCCCTTAAGACATGTCCACCGTTGGCTACTCGAACCGTGAGCATATATCCAGCATCAAAGGTTCCATCAAGTGTACCACAGACTGCCTGTCCCAGTAGGTCATTAGGTGCATGGCTTGAAGCGGCGGCAGAATTAGACTGAGCTGGGATAAGCTGAGAATGATTGGCTGAATTGGCATTCGGATGAGCATGAGCTGGAGCAGCTTTGGGTCTGTAACCAATATAAGGGGATGGATTAGCTGGAGCAAGAGCTGATTGAATCCCGTAACTGGAGTTCACAGTTGAACCAGCATCGACAAGAGAACTTTGTGCCCCATAAATGGTGCATGGAGTTGGATTAGTTTGCACTGGAAGAGATTGAAACAGAAAGCTGGAACAAGCTGCAACACTAGCATGAGTTGGTACAGCTTGATCACCATGGCCTGAACTGGTAGCTGGATAAGCTTGAGATGAACTAGCTTGAATCCCGAGACTGGAAATAGCAGTGGGATTAGCTAGAGAACCAAAGCCTTGAGGCTTTTGACTAAAACTAATAGCTGTATTAGCTTCGGTAGGAAAAGTTGTCTTGTAAGTACCTTCGACGTTGTTTGTGACTAAGATTATCATAATCTTGCTTTCTAGGACGACCACGTTTGCGCTTGGCAGGTGAGTTAGCTGGATCCGCAGGGGTGGTCTCTTGATTCTGTTGAGCCATTCTATGTCTGCAGGTGAACCTATGCTCGATGAATCATTACCAATCAATATTCCCTGTGACAGTGAGAACCATTTTAGTACCCTGTCAATTCTTCTTTAGTAACAAAAAATGTCTATCATACGCTTACAAACTTTTCAATTATAACATTTTATAACTTATGAATCCCCACCAGTGACAGTCATCCAAAAAGAGTCTACTATATTGTATTTAAATCTGCTTAATACATCATAGATAAGATCATAAAAGGATTCACAATCTGATTAATTTCACAGCTTACTGAAGTCACAAAAAGAACATCCTCAGACAGCTGTCACCAAAGAAAGAATTTCTCAAAATATCCATTAAAATATAAAATAAAGAAATCTTACAATTTATGAGATGAAGCTTCTCTGTACTCATAATGCTTATCTCTATAAGTTATATGCAGATAGCTTGCTTAAAGTTAAGCAATGCATGCCTGACTATATTAAACAGGGGGTGAAAGGATGTTTGGTGAAAATGCCACAAAAATGTAATTTTTTCACTGACTGAGAAATTTTATAGATAAAGATGACTAATCTTAGTATTTTGTTTAATTGTGTGCCAACTCTCATATCATATCAGTCAGCTTGACGAGATTAAATTTTAGAATACCAATTGCTGGATGGCTATTGGCTAAAACAAAATGGAGAAACGATGAAGATAAAAGTAAAGCATACCATTATGATCCATTGAGGAAGTATCAGGACACAGAAAACTGCAATTTTCCAAAAAGAAAATAATAACTACAAATGCCAAGAAAAAACTTTTAGGCCGCATCAAGTATATTTCAAATCGTTCCACCATGAACTGAGAGTAATATATAACAAAGCAAAAATGAACATTAATCTGCTGTTGTGGAGATTGGCGGTTCAGCAACCTAGTGGACTTCTAAATTCAGATGACGAAGTCACAATAGCTAAAGAGCAAAGATCAGTTTGTTACCAATATATGCACAAACAAACCTAAGTGGAGTAATGAGAAAATAAATACAAAATAGGGGAAAAAATAGACAAGCAAATGCTTTAGTAAAAGAAAATGTCGGAGGCGGCGGAAAAAGATACTAACATATGACATGCTACTTTGTGCTCACCATGCATCAAACAACACCTTTACTGGTCAAAATCTTACTAAAATGACTATTTTGAGGTAATTCTTCTTTTCATTTCCCTTCTTTTTCTATTTAGATGTGATCATTAATAATCTTTTGAAAAACTTGAACTATGCCTGACCTGTTGTTGGATTTTCTATTGCTCAGATATGGAGGCTATTTCTTAACAATGTCTGAATTTCTAGATAACTAATATGGACCAACCCAGGAATCTTAAATAATACTGATGTGTTATGAGCAAAAGCTCAAACATTTCAGGAACTGCTTTGGTAAGGAAAACTCACCGGCAACTACAGCTGATGATATTATTATTCTCATTCTTCTGAATAACTTCTTGACACTTGGGATTTGAAACACAGTGCAAGCAAGAAAATCAATTTTGTGATACAGGAAAGTTGATGATCTATCGGACTATCTTGCTCAAAATCAATTGCTGCCGCACAGCCATTATCGATGCCTTTTTGAAGTTTTACCGGACTGATCATCTACACAAAAATTAATTGTCAAGCCCATTCACACTTTCTTTAACTACCACTCAACAGACCTGATATGAAAGTTCTACAATACCCAAAAGCACCAAAATAAGAACTGATCTGTAAGTGTTTTCTATTTGCATCTTAGAGCCGCCGAAGTGTTGTGTACTCGGGCAGGGCAGTCATAATCAGAGAAGCTTGCTAGCATTCCATCCAGCAGAGCAACAAGCATATGATCTCCACTGGCAGTCTACAGGTGCAGAAGTTGGCAACAAGAAAAGATTGTGGCAAGCAAAAAATATAGAGGGTTGTCTATTAAAAGAATGAGATTCCGAGATCATGGATGGTAGTGATACATGGACAAGATCATAGATCTTTTTTTTTCTTTTAATCAAAATACAAGGAACTGACTACCAAAATTTGCTTCTCAGCAAAGGACTCTATAACAAAAATGAATATACTAATCGAATAATAATGGGGATAAATAAAATAATCGAAATAAAATAATCCCACAGCCCCATTATTTACCAGTCTTGTGCCCTCTTCAGAAAGAGTTCCACTTCATCTTGCAGTCTGTCGATACGACAACTAGACTAACCAAAATTGTATAATTTTAACAATAATCAAGAAATTAAGCCCAAAACTTGACCCAATAGCTGACCTGATTATGGATTTCAATCAGAACCACATAAAAATACGACTAGAACAGAATCAATTTTGACTCAAACCCAGTACACAATTAGATTATCAACTGACCCTTTTAAACAGATGCTCTTGGTCCTAATCAGAATGTGAGAAAATTCCTTAGCATATCTTATTCTGCCTAAATTTAAGCCGTAGAAAGCAGCATTTCTTAGATCACAAAAGATCCTAATTGCATCAACAATTCAGGTAAAACCCTAAACAGGAGATCCATCCACTTCTCAGTCGAATGTCCCACGTGAGATGTGTGAATCGGGATCAACAAAGAACTATCATACTCCACAGGCAGCCTCTGCACCAAAAAGGCAAGAGCAAATAAACCTTACACAAAATGGCATCCTTGGCCGGTACGCAGCGAACGCTGTCGCTTCAAAGAAATGCTCACGGCATTCATCCGTTGGACTGCCGAACGCGCTCCAGATTGAACGCGAAAGCAGAAAGAGACAAATCATCGGACTCATTTGCTGCAGGATAAACTGCTTTACACGTATCCCATCTCGACCAAACTTCACATGATCAGGATTGGCACGCGAAAGAGTATCTAAAATTTTCGAGGTGTCGTCCTCGATTACGCTTATCACATGAGCGCAGCGACGCCTGAATCCTGTAGCTAAACATGCCCTGATCGAGCAAGATCCCAAAAGAGGGAACTTTTCGCGCAACAGCTGCTGAGTCGACTCGGGACGAGTACCGTGACATTAGACAAAATCGGCACTGTTCTTTCCGAATAAACAAATCAATAAAGAAATCGAGTCAAAGACCTTTGATCCCCACCATACTCCCACGCAAGACAAACGGATCGCTCTAGAAAACCGAAACTGATTTCGATCATAGAAAATTGGCATCTCATAATGGAAAACCGACATGCATGCAGAGAAGAAGCCCGATTCGCCACAAGTAGATCTTTAAATTTTGTTTCAAGAAGAAATAGTTTACCTTTCTCCCGGTCGGTCGGTCCTTTAGCCGAATCTCACAAAGAACTACCAGAGGAGGAGGAGGAGGAGGAGAACGAGATCAGCAACGAGGAGACGCCACAAGAAGAGAAGAGGACAGGAACCCTAGATCCCCCCTCTCCCCCTTCCTCCCTCTCGTTCTCGCTCTCGTCGCGGCGATCAGTTTCGGTTCCCAGCCGGGGGGGGGCACACGTGCATGTACGTAATGAACATGCATAGAACTAAGAGGGGAGCGAAGTGAAGGGGGAGAAGAGGAGGAGGAGAGCCTCCGTTAATGGTGTCCGCGGTGTCACTGTAAGACGACGGCTTCCCCACCACCACCTGGGGATACCGAGACCAGACCCGAGACCATCAAGCTACACGAATCGCGAGGCTCCTCCAACCGTCGGATGCGGTTCGCTGGGGGCCCATGGCCGCGTTCGTTGAGCTGAGCGCCCGACCCCGTTCTTTGCGGGCGTTTGCACGGGTGTTCTATGCGGACGCCGATCCGCCTCACGCTCCGCTTTAATAAGCGTGCATCGTTGCTTTAATAATCGTGCTGATGATGATGGGATTAATCAAACTTCGCGATTCGCCTTTTGCTTTAATGATCGTGCTGATGGTGGTGGGATTAATCAAACTTCGGGGACGCAGGATCCGCCTTTAATGATCGTGCTGATGATGGTGGGATCAATCAAACCAAAGCCACTGGCGACTTTATCCCCATGTACAAAGAGATGTGATGACAATGTCCATGGTGACTGCAGCTTTCAACAGGCAAAGGATATAAGGAAGCACATTATGAGGGAAATGGAGTTTGATATATAAACCTAAAAACCATATGCCAATGCAAAGCTAAAAGTGCCATATAATCAAATTTGAACCCCATAATGCATATAAATGTGCACCAACAAGACAGTGAAGAGTTTTAACATCAAGAAGGTGCAAGCCTATGGAGTAAATGCCCTCAAAGACAATAAGACAGTGAAGAGTTTCAATTAGGTAGGCCTGAAACTGCCGACATGGTACCTAGATCTAGTAAATGCCCTCAAAGACAATAAGACTTGACATATGTAATAATTAATCTGGCTGGAAATTCCTCTGGTGACCAAAACACTACAGTATTCTTGCATTAGGTTGCACTGCATAGCCTCGACAAGGAGCAGGAAAACGATGAGGACGCTCTCGAACCATGATACGATGATCGACATTCAACGTTTTGCCATCTATCACTGGATTGAGGAGGGCAGTCATCCTGCTTCCCCCATCTATCAGACTCGGGGTGCATTGCCCGTTGTCCCTCATTTCTTTCTCAGAGAAACCTTGGCACATACTTCCCCAAGCTCGGTGCAGCCTTGGCAGCAGCAGGTGCAGCAGGCATAGGCGGTTCAAAAGGGTGAGTACCTGAAGCAGGGTCAGTTGACCGAGACAGTGGTCCGACAGGCCTTCTGAGAAGACCTTCTCTTTGCAGCCTTTCCTTCTCCTCTTAACTCTCTTTTCTCTCTCTCTTCTTTCTTTTGTCTTTCCTCCTCTGCACAATTGTGGGATAAAGAAAAATTAACAGACCCGAAAGTTTTTATCTACCAATATGCCAGATCCTCACATTGTCTACTTCTGAAATAGAAGATTGTTTAGAGACTTTGATAGTGTGACAATATAGTCCATTTTGCCAGCTACAAGTTAATCTGGTTGTTAAGTCAGTTCAAATTATTATGACAAGAAGTTCCATATTATGCAATGGTCATGAAGGTGGTGCTTTATATCACATGACAAGGTTTTGTGCACTATTATTACCTTCATGTTTTCTCGCTTCCTCCTCTTCTCGAAGCCTGGTCAGCTGCACTTCCTCAGACTTCAGGTAAAAGAGTAGCTTCCTCTTGAACTCCCTTTCACATTACCTCATTGCTACAAGCTGATTGATTTTATCCTCTCTCTCTTTCTTCAGTCGGTTATACTCGGCTTCACGGCAGTTCACTATTCTTTGTTGGAATATGACCTGGAGACAAAGGGAGAGTGCAGCATATCAAAACCAACAAATGATAAATGAAGCAGTGATTTAGTAACACTTGAAAAACACTGTTCCATTAGACATACATGTGAGGAGCTATAGAACACAATTAAGCAGTAATTTAATATCAGCATGAACATCCAGACTTCTAATTAATATGTGAGCAGCTATAGAACACAATTAAAACTCAATAAGGCTCCATGTGTCATTCATCCTTTAACCCTAATCACCATTGCTGTTGATGCCTATAGCACATGAACCTATTAGGAACCCATGTGTCTAAAACATTAGAAGCATCACAACTGTTAACTTCCCAGGAAGGGATCTTTGATTTTTTATGATGACGATATCAGCAATCCATTTGCAGTATAGGTGGGATGCAAAAGCTAAGAGAAGATAAACTTATGCTCATAGAGAATAGATACATTATCTAAAATACTATCCCCTGAAAATGGTTCCACATCATTGTTCACCATGGCAACATTGATTGCAACAATTTGCAATCTGAATCAACAAACTTATGCTCATAGAGAATAGATACATTATCTAAAATACTATCCCCTGAAAATGGTTCCACATCATTGTTCACCATGGCAACATTGATTGCAACAATTTGCAATCTGAATCAACAAAAATCGTATAGAACCTTACAGATTATTAAAATCAAGATTGCCAAAATCAAGGAACCAATCACATAATACATAAACCTTTAGTCTTCCACTTGGCACTACTAACCTGAATTAACTCACACAACTTTGATGATTAACAATTTATACAAAAAAATTCTTAAGATATGTATAAAGAACAAAAACAATTCCTTACCCTTAATTGGTACAAAATCCCTATGTTTCATGGATGCTCTTATTTCCATTTTATTTCTAGTAACATCACAAACCTATCTCAGGTCCAAACATTCACATCTAAGAGATTTAACAGTCAAATAAAACTCTTCAGATGCATCTTGCACATATAACCATCAAACTTTAGTTCTATCAGTAGTAACTTTATGCTGTGTCATAACACTTCTGATGCATCTCTAAGAATTTTTATTTTAAGGATGATAAGTGTTGATGAATCATGATATGAGCATGGCATGGTTTAGGAAAGGTGTTATGATCTTAATTAATGTTTAAATAAATCTAGGGTGTTACAAATAAAATCTTGTGGAATAACGAGATTTTTTATTACTTCACTTTGGATTTAACTCAAGTCTGTAAAAGTAATCTAGTTTATGAGTCCTTTATGTTGTGTTTTGAAATGCTTAAAGAAGCCGTGAGTACTGTTTATAACAGTTAACCATGGTTTTCTTCTTCTCGTCTACTTTTCTTTTTTTTCTTCTCAAACACTTCACTATGCTCCCGTAACATATCACAGTACAAATGCTTGTAACTTTTCATATTCTCTTGAAAATGTTTTTACACTCGGTCCCAGAATATAAGACGTCAAATTGTCGAAACTACCAATATGGAAACTCCACCATCTATGCCAAACTGAACCATGGTTTACGATTTAAAGAACCTAATGGAATCACCTAATGAATCTTAGTTGTGATCTCAATCCCAGTGTCTGAATCACAACATCAATGTGTTTGGATATAAAGAGGCTTGTATATATACCAACGAAAATTGTTATACCCACCGAAGATGCCCATGGCACAGCTTAAATATAGAGGCACATCTCCAAATGAGAACATGATGGGAAGGGCAGCTTAAATATATAGTATAAGTCATAACTGTGGGCTTTCCCTGTCAGGGCACATCACTACTACACTAACAGTTTCATAACCATCATCATCCTGGTGAGAAGGCAACATATATCTGCTTCCACCAGCCAAAACAATAAGGACATGGACAAAAATAATATCAGAGCAAAACGGGAAACATATTTAACAACTCCACTTCACTTTAAGGGGGAAATGAGCAGGCAAATACAAACCTTGTTATCCAACATTCTAGCCAGTCTATTCCTCTCTTGAACGTCACCAGCATGGTGCTGCCTGCTCAGCTCTATCTCTTTTTATAGGGAAATTTATTTTATTAATTACAAAAAGTAATTAATATAAACTCAAGAAAACAAAGAAAAATATCAAAAAGCAAACCAGTTGCTCGCGTTCGTGAAGATTTTTCTCCTCGACCAAGCGTTGTTGGAAGATATTTTTTGCCATATAATCCAACAAAATGACACCAATAATGGATGGAAAAAACTTTTTGTACATCGTTCTTAACTGGTATAATTTGACAAACTTTTAACTCATGAAGTGAGTTTAACTAGTTTGATGAAATGTCTTAAACCAACCTCAAGAGTTTTGATTATGTATTTCAACATTATATCAACGCTCACAAACAAAGAAACAATAACTAAACTTCTCCAATGCACCAAATTAAAAAGTCTTTTAATGGTTCCATAGCTACACAAATAAACCTTCCATGATATCTTGATAGTGTTCTTCCTAAGTATAGGAACAAAGAACTTGGAATGTGCTCCGGTCACTAAAAATTCAAATCTTTCAGATAGTTCCACTTAACGTCTGAGGTATGTCAAGTAGTGGTTCTAAATGAAAAATCTTAAACATAAACAATTACATAAGCATAATTCTAGAAGCCCATCCAAAAGCTCTATGTTTATTGAAGGAATCCATCTTAGGCAATCCTGTACCAAGTGCTGTGTGAATTTTAGATGACTTACCGCATATAGTGATTCCAATTTGGAATTGTTTCGCAGAAACTCAAGCACTGTCCTGTATGTTTCCCACAAGAATTTGAACCATGGAGTCACAATCTCCCGATCTGACCTGTTTTTTCCTTTCTCCGCACTAACATAGCTAAGCATTAAGTCCTCAAGTCTCTTATCAACCTCTAGACCCTCCACATCCGGTGCTTCTTCCAAGGCTTGTGCTTGAATCCTAGCTTGCTCAGCCCTCTCCGTGGAAAGATGCATGAAATGCTTTATAACCTCTTCCAACGAGCTAACATTGACTTGCTGGCATATAATACGGTACTGAATAAGTCCATCCTTTGCAAATCTGCCACTCTTCATGTCCACACAGAGTTCTACATACTTAAACATGATGCTTTCAAGGGCCTTCTGCCATGCCTTATGCCTTTTTGAAGTAATGAGATCATGTAGTGCTTGCAAGGCAGCTTGCTTCTGTTCAACATTAATCAATTCTGAAGTACAGGGGATATAAAAAAAATGTTGTTAGCAAAACAGCAGCATGATGGAGAGTTTTTGTGTCACAAGGCAGTCATCAACTTTACAAGGCATCATAAATAGACTGGGCAAAGTAACTTGTGCAAAAAAAAAGAAAAAAGATAGACTGTCAGACATATTACAATGGAAGTAATCAATCATCGTTAAAGCAGAGAAAGTATAGTTCTGAAAAAATCATAACTTTACTAGTCCCTTCATGTTAGTGAAACAAAACATTTTTCATGAGTTCTACCAGGGAAAAAACTTAAAATCATGATACTGCAGCATATTGGTTTTTTGAACGGATAGAGATCTAGAAGCAATTCTACTAACATATTCCATGAGCTTTGTGACATACTAAATTCTGCACAAAAGTGAAAGCTTAACAAAAATCTCTTAACCTCGGCACGCTTTAATGCGTTCTCTGGATTAGCAAAGGTCGGCATCGTCACCAGAAGGATTTTTCTATGCCTGCTTCCTAGAAGGAAGCAGGCTTAGTAGAAACTGCATGACAAGACAAAAGAGATAGAAAATGCTGTCAAATCCAAGACAAGAAAAAGCTACGATAATGAGTTCTATAAGGAGATTGATTATAGATACCAGCTACATTAGAACACCATTCTCCAAGCCACTTTCAGAAGGTCTGACGAAAGCGTGACGATAAAACCAGCATGCAAAGGACTTGCTATCAGTGCAAATATCCATAAACAAAAAAGTTCATAGGCACACATAACAATATAGACCTAATTCTAACATCAAGAAAAGTTATATGCGTCGTCTTCTCGACGAATAAGCTCTACGGATCGACAACGACGAACCAAAAACCACATTGATCCAGAAATTGAAAACCTTCTCGAAATCCTGCCGGCGGGTGCAACGCCGAGGCCGACAAATCTTGTTTCAAAACCCTAACGACATCGAAGAAAAGTCAGCCAAGACCAAGTTTAGCCTTCTACCTACCAACTTTAATACCATCGATCCAAGGATTTCGAATTCGGAGAGCAACGGGGCACGATCGCAACAGCTCTTGGGGGCGGATACAGAGGCCGCCGCTCTCGCCGGACGGATGCTCCGGGGAAGAAGAGAAGGGAGGTGGAAAGAGGGCGCTTAGGTTTTGAGGGCGGGCTTTGTTCAATTCGTAATATATCCTCCATTACAGCTAAAATTTACAGGAATGCCAATTCCTCTTAAAGTCGGATTCGGATTCGGATTCGGATTCGGATTACACAGACGCATTCGCAAATTTAACGGTTCGAACCGTGTGCGATGAACCGCATAAATGATTCGGGTCCAAGAAACTGCGTTGGGTCCGGTCCATGTTTTCCATGACGATTCCGTATGATATGCAATTAAATATTATATATATCCTTAGTATATTTATATATATATATATAATATTTTGATTGTATCATATCATGTCATAATCGTGATTAGCGAGTTGGATTATTGCTTTTTATTATTATCGTAGCATAATAATTAACATTAGCATCACATCTTACTAAAATATCTACAAAGCAAGAAACACTCTCGGTGTTGTCTCCGTTCTTCGCCGCCTGTCTCAGAGATGAGTCTCTATTGCTGCTGTTGCGGCGGCCGCGACCTCTCACCTCGTCGCTTTGGCTATCTCCGCAACCTCCCATGTTCTCTGCTACCTTCTTTCGCTTCCTCTCGCCACCCCTCCACTCGCTTCCTCCCCCCTCTCTGTTCCCTCCCCAACCCCAATCTAACAGTCTCCCCTCCCGCGCCGGCCAACAGCAACGCCGCCGCGGCCACCCTCCCCTCCGTCCCCCGGTACCGCGAGGACGGACTCGACGATGAAGCCCTCGACGCGTTCCTCGCCGACCTCAGCCCCAAGGAGCAGACCGTGCTCCTCAAGCGGCAGCGGGACTGGCGGCGGGCCCTCCACCTCCTCCGCCGCATGCGGTCCCTCGCCCACTACCTCCCCAACCCGTTCCACTACAACGTCGTGCTTCGGACCCTCGGCCTGGCGCGACGGTGGGACGAGCTGCGCCTCTGCTGGCTCGAGATGGCTAAAGATGGAATCTTGCCCACCAATAACACCTACGCGACGCTCATCGACGCCTACGGAAAGGCCGGGCTGGTAAAGGAGGCGCTTCTGTGGCTCAAACACATGAGGGCCAGGGGGGTTTCGCCTGACGAGGTTTGTATGAACACTGTCGTCAGGATACTCAAGGATTCTGGGCGGTTCGACGAGGGGGAGAGGTTTTTCCGGGGATGGTGCAATGGAAAGGTCGAATTCGACGTTCTGGAGACGGAAACAGATGGCTCGGATTCCATTAGTCCCAACAGTTTCTTGCTGACGGAGCTCTTCAAATCCGGAAGTCGAGCACCTGTTTCCAAGAAGATTGCTCCAGGCGTCGAAGATGGTCCGAGAAGGCCGCGGCTTGCTGCTACCTTCAATACGTTGATTGATCTGTATGGAAAAGCAGGTAGGCTCCAAGACGCTTCAGATGCTTTTGCTGAGATGTTGAGGTCAGGTATCGCACCTGATACAATCACATTCAATACCATTATCAACATCTGTGGCACGAATGGACTTCTCTCTGAAGCAGAGTCCCTGCTTGCTAAAATGCGTGAGAGAAGAGTTGATCCTGATACCAAGACATTCAACATACTCATGTCGATGTATGCTTCGGTTGGGAATGTCAAGACGGTCTTGAAGTATTACAACAAGATAAGGGAGGTTGGTCTTTGTCCTGATACTGTAAGCCATAGGATAATCTTGCAGGTTTTATGTGAAAGGAGCAGCGTTGGAGAATTAGAGGATGCGATCGAGGAAATGACCAAAGCAGGTGCTCGTGTAGACGAGCAGTCCGTCCCTGTCGTGATGAAGATGTACATCAATCAAGGGATGCTTAATGAGGCAAATATGTTCCTTGAGAAGCATTGTGCCTCAACTGGCATATCTTCCAGGAATTATGCTGCCATTATAGATGCTTATGCCGAGAAGGGCTTATGGAAGGAGGCTGAGGATGTCTTCTATGGGAAGAGGGGAACCAGAAACAAGAATGATGTAGTGGAATACAATGTGTTAATAAAAGCTTATGGGAAGGCAAAGCAGTATGATAAAGCTCTATCTCTGTTTGAGGATATGAGAAACTTTGGAACTTGGCCAGATGGATGTTCCTTTAACTCTCTCATTCAAATGCTTTCTGGTGGTGATTTTCCTGACCGAGCATGGGAGCTTCTAGGCCGAATGAGAGATGCAGGGTTCAGACCTAGGTGCGAGACCTTCTCTGCTGTCATTGCAAGTTATTCCCGCAAATCTATGATTTCTGAGGCCCTTGAAGTCTACCGAGAAATGAAGGCACTAGGTGTTGAACCAAATGAAGTTGTGTATGGGTCACTGATAGACATGTTTGCAGAGGCTGGGAAGGTCGAAGAAGCACTTCACTATTTTAATTTGATGGAAGAATCTGGACTTCCGATCAATGGCATTGTCCTGACTTCTCTAGTGAAGGCATATAGTAAGGTTGGCTGCTGGAGGGAAGCCCAGGAGTTGTACACAAAGATGAAAACCCTTGATGGTGGTCCTGACACTATTGCCTCTAACTGTATGATTAATCTTTATGCAGATCTTGGTATGGTGACTGAAGCTAAGTTAATCTTTAATGACCTGAGAAAAAATGGTGAGGCTGATGGGATTTCATATGCTACAATGATGTATCTTTACAAGAGTATGGGCATGCTGGAAGAGGCAATCGGCGTCGCTCAGGAGGTCCAGAAGTCAGGCTTACTGACCGACTGTGCTTCGTATAACAGTGTCATAGCTGCTTATGCCGTCAATGGGAAGCTCAAGGACAGTGCAGAATTATTACAACAGATGATATCCAGAAAAATATTACCCGATGCCTCAACATTTAAATCAATCTTTACCCTATTGAAGAAAGGAGGTTTTGCAATGGAGGTGGTGTCACAGTTAGAGTCATCTTATAATGAGGGAAAGCGATTTGCGAGACAGGCTATAATTACCTCCTTGTTCTCCATGGTTGGTTTGCATGCTTGTGCACTCGAGTCGTGTGATCTTTTTCTGTCTGCTGGGATGCCTCTTGAATCTTTTGCCTATAATTCTGCAATTTACGCATATGGAGCCTCAGGGATGGTTGACAAAGCCTTGAATCTGTATATGCGAATGCAAGACGAGGGACTGAAACCAGACATTGTTACTTATATTTATCTGGCAATTTGTTATGGGAAGGCAAGAATGGTTGAAGGACTAAGGCGGATTTATGGTCTTCTGAAATATCAGGAACTTGAGCCTAATGAATCTCTATACAAGGCTCTAATCGATGCTTATAAAATTGCTGGCAGGCATGATCTTGCAGAATTGGTTGAACAAGAGATGAGATTCAGTGTTGACAGACCAACGGACGATGATTCAGAAGCTGAAGACTGTTAGAAATTTAGGGTTCATATATTTAGGCACAAAAACATGCATCTTCATTCTGGCCTTCATAATTCGTATTACAAGCATCGATGCCGGATTTTGTAAGTTCAACTCTTTCTGACTTGCCATGATTGCATTATACTAACTATAAACTATATAGTGTCATCCTCCATGCTTGACAGCCTTCCCGGTGATTTTGATTCGGTGTTTTGTATGATAGTTACATGTTTCATGGAGTTTGTTCAACTAAACCTTTGAAATATTATTGTTCTCTTGATGTTTTCTCTATTTTTTTTTTTTTTTTCAAATCCTTGTTCTACAACAAGCTCAATATCCGAATCGAGGAGGGAAGAAAAAAAAGGGATGTGGTGGCTTAAGATGCCCTTTGACATTGTTAGGTAAAAACCTGATCTCTACCGCCTAAGTTGACAATGCTCTAATTTGTGCCATAGATTAACCGAGTACTTACTCGATGACTGCCTGCTATAGTATTCATATATTATACTAACTATCAACTATATAGTGTCATCCTCCATCCTTGACAGCCTTCCCGATGATTTCGATTCGGTGTTTTGTATGATAGTTACATGTTTCATGGAGTTTGTTCAACTAAACCTTTGAAATATTATTGTTCTCTTGATGTTTTCTCCCTTTTTTTTTATTTTCAAATCCTTGTTCTACAACAAGCTCAAAATCCGAATCGAGGAGGGAAAAAAAAAAAGGGATGTGATCTCTACCGCCTAAGTTGACAATGCTTTAATTTGTGCCATAGATTAACCGAGTACTTACTCGATGACTGCCTGCTATAGTATTCTGTATCGCAAAAGATTTTCCATCCATTATATTCATATATTATTGACATATCAAGTTAGTGAGTGTTTAGTTGTTGTTGTTGTTGTTGGGTTGAACCTCACATATCATGATTTATATTGGGATAGATGGATCTACGACTTAACTGGAGACACTCGAATCACATTGGCAAAGAAAAGTTAGATGATGCTCATTTATGGCCTTAATAAAACATGTACCAAACATATACCATCTTTATTGGTACCTGAACTAAGGGAAAGGGAAAGCCCTGCAAATAGTCGAGAAAGACGAAGACACTTCAACGGTATATGTTTGTAAAGAGTTGGCAAAGTTTCAACCTCGTGTCTTCGAGGATATGTCGAAGAAAAAGCGATAGACAAGTCATCGTCGTCGTCGATGTCGTCGTCGTGCAATAGGACATATGGAACACAGTTTATTAGCCTTAAAAATTGGTTGTAGTTTTGAATGACAACATGATTCAAGGGTGTCACTTGTCACAAAGCTCCATGGAAGTAGCAATCAAAAATATCAATTTTCTCAATACCCTATAATTAACCTTGAAATTTTCTCCAATTTCTTGATCTTCTTTCATTTTTTATTCGCATAAAATAAACCCCCTTTTTTTTTCTCAAAGATAAAGTCCACGATAATATATATATGTATATATATATATATATATATATATATATATATATAATAAAAACACTATAAATAAGTTAAATAAAATTAAAATACATTAAAAATTATTTGATATATTGTACTAAAATTGAAATAAATATTTATAATAGTTTAAAAATAAAAAATTACCTAAATAAGAATAAAAACACTACAAATTAGTTTGTCATAGTGTTTTTACCATTATAACAAAGACACTATAAAACATATTTAGCTAGAATTACTTAAATCTGAAGACTCAAAAATCGAAGAGGTGACCGATAGACAAAGTGTCATTATTGTAAAATGCATGGAGCAAACAATTAAATACAAGAACTTTATTAGCCTTAAAAACTAGTTGAAGATATAAAGATGTCAAACATCTAGAAATTTTGATAGAGATCACGTTTATACAAAAATATTGTTTGTGATCTCACGACTCGTCCAAACCCCTCAACTACTATTTTGGAGCCACATTCGATCCATCAGTGGAGCAGCAAACGACAAATATCAATTATCTCAACATCCTATGATTGACCTTAAAAAAAATATCAAATCCCTCAATTTTCTTCCAATTTTTTTTCCTTCCACACAAAATAAATTCGACTTTTTTTTTCTTTCTTTAAGTGGTTTCCTTCCACACAATATATATATATATATATATATATATATATAAGACACCACCACCAAGGCTGTGATAGTTGACCAATACAGCTCTAGATACTGTGATAATAAATGATTGGTAATATTGCTCGGCCACCTAATTTGGTCCACGCACAATCCTACACCCAATCCCAACTCTGATCATTCACAATCCAAGCCATAAGCAAACACCTAAATCTGCTTATCCATAATTCCAATCCTAAGCCTAAACTTCATATTGTTCCTGACCCAACAATCCCCCCCTTCCAAACCCACAGCCAAATCTGACCCAATCTCTCTGTGCTTGTTGTTGTAGTCGGAAGATGGTGTGTTGGATTTCATGACTGGTTGATTGGTATCTAAGATCTCAAAAATGCAACAAGTATGCAGAGCATATAAGGTCTAGAAAAGAAAAGCAGTAAATGAACTTTTATTGAGCCTACGCTATCTCTGTATCCCTTTCATTAAAGAGGCAAGCAGGTCTGTAGAGGAGACTGCATCTCCTCCCTCTCTCGTCTCCCTATCTATCTATCTATCTATCTATCTACAGTATTCCACTTGCCAACTCTGAGCATTTAGCAAGCCTCCAATGGAGGTTTTCAACACCTTCCCAACCTGTGAACTCCAACCACTGGATTTACTGCACCTGCATTTAAGTCTGCATTCATGGCTTTAGCTGGCAGATGGCCCTCATGCAGTCCTCCCTCCTTATAATAACCCCTTCCCCATGCAGTTAACGCTCTCAACTCAGAACACCGCTACTGCTACTACAGCGCTTGTCTTCACTCGCGTTTCCACCACCACTGCTCTGCCACCAATCCTTGCTACTGTGTTCTCTTCTGCTTTCTCCGCCGATAACGTCACTGCTGCAGTTTCTGATAGGTTGTGTTGCTGCACTGCGGGTGGCAGCAGCAACGCTTCTGCATATGGACCTCGTCGACGTCCTGTACGTCGTCGGCGCTGCCGTTGTGGCGGCCGTGTGGTGGCGCCGCTGTTCGACGACGCCGGAGGGGCTCCCGCCCGGTCCGCCGGGGTGGCCGGTGGTGGGAAACCTGTTCCAGGTGATCCTGGAGCGGCGGCCCTTCATGTACGTCGTTCGGGACCTGCGCAAGCGCTACGGCCCCATCTTCACCATGCGGATGGGGCAGCGGACCCTCATCATCGTCACCTCCGCCGACCTCATCCATGAGGCGCTGGTGCAGAGGGGTCCCCTCTTCGCCAGCCGGCCCGCCGACTCCCCCACCCGCCTCCTCTTCAGCGCCGGCAAGTGCACCGTCAACTCCGCCGCGTACGGGCCCCTCTGGCGCGCCCTCCGCCGTAACTTCGTCAGCGAGATCGTCACCCCCGCTCGCGTCAAGCAGTTCGGCTGGATCCGGGACTGGGCTATGGCCAACCACCTCGCCCGCGTCCGCGCCGAGTTCAAGGCCACCGGCGCGGTGCAGATGATGAGCAACTGCCGCCTCACCGTCTGCAGCATCCTCGTCTGCATCTGCTTCGGCGCCAGGGTCCCCGAGGACCACGTCCGGGTGATCGAGGAGGTGCTCAAGGAGGTGATGATGATGACGACGCCCAAGCTGCCGGATTTCCTCCCTATCTTCACTCCCTTCTTCCGCGGCCAGCTGACAGAGGCCAGGAAGCTGCGGAAGCGGCAGATGGACTGTCTTGTGCCCCTGGTGAGAGCTCGAAGGGCGTTCGTGGAGAGCGGGGGGAAGATGGACCCGAGCTCGGCGTGGGAGATGGTGAGCCCGGTCGGCGAGGCCTACATCGACTCCCTGTATGGCATGGAACCCAGCGGCAAAGGCCGGCTGGGCGAGGACGAGCTGGTGACGCTCTGCTCGGAGGTCATGAGCGCCGGCACCGACACGAGCGCCACCATGCTAGAGTGGGCGATGCTGCATTTGGTGCTCGACCAGTCGGCGCAGGAGCGGCTGTACGAGGAGATCGTCGGAAAGGTCGGGAGGGACAAGGGGAGGAAGATCACGGAGTCGGACGTGGAGGGGATGGGCTACCTGCAAGCGGTGGTGAAGGAGACAATGCGGCGGCACCCGCCGAGTCACTTCGTGCTGTCGCATGCGGCGACGAGGGAGACGGAGCTGGGCGGGTACCGCATCCCGGCGGACGCCAGCGTGGAGTTCTACACGGCGTGGGTGACGGAGAACCCGAGCACGTGGAAGGACCCGGGGGAGTGGCGGCCGGAGCGGTTCGAGGAGGGCGGCGAGGGGTGGGAGACGGACGTCACGGGGACGCGAGGCATCAGGATGATGCCGTTCGGGGCCGGCCGGCGGATCTGCCCCGCCGCCACCCTGGGGATGCTCCACATCCAGCTCATGCTCGCGAGGATGGTGAGGGAGTACCGGTGGGTGGCGGTGCCCGGCGAGCGGCCGGACCCGACCGAGACCTTCGCCTTCACGGTGGTGATGAAGGAGCCTCTCAGAGCTGCCATCTTGGAGAGGGAGTGAAGGGGGTAGAAAGAAGCCGTCGTCGAGTTCTCCCTCCATTGCCAAGTATTGTGTTCACTGTGATCCTGCTTTGCTCGTCGGTCCATCTCTAACACAGTTTCATTGGGTTTACGTACCTTCAAGAAGTTGGTGAAGGATGTGTTCGAGTGGTTTCGGTTTCGGTTTCTTCTCTTGCCTTGCTTGTTCTCGTTGTTCTTCTTTCCACCCTTCATTAAAGAGGAGACTGTGGTGCATCAATAAAGCTAACTGCCCCTGCGAAATCAAATTCTAAGAACTACAGAATGCACAGGTTGAAATAAACAATATAATGACATTGATTTGGGATTTAATATAATAGCATGTATTTCTCTTCATTTTGATTTGATTCGAGAGGAAAACATATTGAATTGGTCAAAAGAATTTGATAAAAAGAGGAACATTCTACTCTTAAGAAAACATTGAAAGATGTAACAAAACAAAACGGTATTTGGTGAAAGTCTAAATTTGATGGCTTTTTTCTTATAATGAATTATCCTATCTGTAGTTTAAAAGAATAACTGTCTAATATTAAACTCACTTTATTAACTCACGACTTAGATATTATTAACATTGACTTTTCAAAGTCAACTTGTTTAAACATGGATTCATTTTTCTGCTGCGTTATATACACACATATATAAATGATACAATAAAATCACTTATGAGCAAATACCAAACTAAGAAAAACTGAGAATTTTGCTTCAGAGAGAGAGAGACTCTCAAACTTAATTCATCTTAAATATGTTATACCCACTCATTGTTATTGGGTGAGTGATCAAGCAATCAAATCAAATGCTGTCTACACTATCTTTTTAGATCTATTTGATTCTAATAAATTTAATTGGAAATGAAAGCAGAATTATCTTCTAATCTCTTTCTTCAAAACCTTGTTCGCATCAAACTCTGTTTTATCACAGTATTTTTCACATACAATTGTTTCCAAACAGTTCACGTGCCGCACACCAAGTTTCATCACAATCTATTCAAGTCAACCTCGATTAGTACTCACAAGCGACGACCATAAGATGGACAAGTCCTCGATTAGTACCCATCTTTTCAAGTAATGCATCACCAAATGTCACAATCTATCCAAGTCATCCTCATTTAATATCCACATGACTGCTACGAATTGATTCGTGTATTGTATCGACAAGAGTCGCAATCTATCCTTATCATCGTCAATTAATACGAGGAAACAAAATTCGTAAGTTATCTACTTCTCTGTTAGTGATGAAGAAGAGTAGGAAATTACGTACGAGTACTATGCTGTTCCATGTTAAACTCTCTTGGTCGTCTTCCTTTTCTTGTATCTGGCGGATTCCTCTTTGTATCCTGAAAAAGAGAGAAAATAATGTGAGATCCTCGATATATGTTTAGAAAAAAAAAATAATTGGGTGATAAAATTTTCTTTACTCATCTCATCCGTAGCTTTTACCGATGCTATGTGCCCAAATCATCCTTAAGCTTGCAGTATTTTCACGGATAAAAAGAATTAGTACGGAAAATCGAAGCAGAAGCTACGTTAGCCGATGGCACAAGCGAAGGAGGTGGTTGCCACATCTAAGAGCATTAACACGACCACATGACTCGCCACGGCGAGGGGACTGACAGCATTTATGAGGCACAGGACAGCAGGATGCAGAGATATCATACGTTGCTTTACCTGCTGCATTCACGTTCATCATAGCCTGGGCCTCGTGAGCCGATGCTTTACTGGTGCCAACCTGCGTGCTCATGGTGCGGAGATCCCCTATTGGGTCTGACAGCCAGCATGCCTTCCTCGGTGTTCAACAGGACTCCCCCACCGATGTGTGTAGGTCGGGAGGTCAGGGACCGATGCAGGTCCGACACCAATAGCTCATTCCACAACCGTGTCTGGTTCTGAGCATGAAAACTCAAATACTTCCAAGGTTTTACCATGGTCCAGACGCGTTTACATGAACACCTCTCTCGAGTATCTGCATGATCCGACATGTGATACGAGAGATGGAAAAAAAAAAGCATATCCAAATCTATCTACTCTGCTTCACTATAAAAGCCATAAGATCAGATTTAGGTTTAAGGTCCTGAGTATGAAAACTTCAATATCTCTAAGGTTTTACCACGGTCCAGACACATTCAAAAATGTTATGTGAGAGATGGTAAAGAAAGCATATCCGTGTCTATCTAATATGATTCAATCTAAAAAACATAAGATCAGATTTAGGCTTAACGCTCTGAGCATGAAAAGCTAAATATTTCAAAGGTTTTACCATGAAATATGACATGAGGGATGGTAAAAAAAAAGTATTCCCAAATCTATTTAATCTGCCTCAATCTATCCAAGTCATAAGATGGTATGGCTGCCAGAGCCTGCAATAGCAGGAATCATTAGAACTCGAGTGAGTTCTGTTCAAACATCTTGAAAAGCACTGACCTGCACCAAAATTACCAGCACATTAGTTGTATCAAATTGAGTTCTAGTCCAAAGATGTGTATTATACGATCTAAAAGAAAGGCCGGGAATAAGTAATCCACATTAAACTGATGAATTATTTCAATTCAAATAGATTAAACTATTTAGATATGTGAAATAAACATATATTTTACCTGAGGGATGCAATCATATTGCAAGCGAATTCAGAAATATTTTTTTGTATAAAAAGATAAAAATTCCATAAAACCAAGAATTTTAACAAAAAGCTGAAAGAAATATGAACCGGATACTATATGCAGCAAAGAAAGATCCAAAGTATAAACAGGTAGTTCACTTTTTTTTTTCACAAACATATTTTTATCATAAGAATCAATGAGCGATCTTACAAGACGAAAGTTATCTTATCTGTTCTCTTATTATATCACTAAAACCAGGAAGCAGATTGATACCAATGTGATGTAGAATCCGGGGTAAAGTAGAATAAATCTGGAAAGAAAATCGATAATATAATTTTTTTCGGATAGAAAATGTACAAACTCCATATAATACTTCAATAAGATCGAAAAAATAACTCACCACCCAATTTAAAATCACAAAGGGATATAGAAAGTTCACCACTCTGAGGAAATTAAACAACGATACAGAACTGAAAATAAAAGACTCGCCACTCAAGGAAACATCCAAGAGATACAGAGTTTAAACGAGAACTCCAAGAGAGCTTCTGCAAAATATCATCGATTTTCTAAAGTCCTTTCTGGGCCCTAAACACCAACATAAGTACTAGTACATGAAACAACCCTTCATGCATAGGGAATTTCGAAATTAAATGTTCACAGCTGCTAACCAACTCTTTTAATGCATTCCTTGGTCATGAAATACATTTTTTCTCACCCAACTTTCATCCTCGACCACATAAGACACTTGTAAGCTACATTGCAATACAATAGATAAACCATGATCTGCATAAGTAACCTCTTCCTCATCTTCATCATATTTTGGTTCATCGTCGGCTTCAAATTCTCCTCCATCACTATTATCTTCAACCAAAGTTACAATCCTCCTATTTGGACAATCTGAAGCAATATGCCTAAAACCATGACATTTGAAGCATTTTCGACTACTTGGGTAGAAGAATTAGGTGTTTTTTTACTACTAGCAGATTCTTCACCCTTTTCTTGCACCTTCGATATCACCTTGCTTTGGACAGTAGGCTTAGAACTTCCTCCTTTTACATATCCTTCTTTTGAACCATACCGATAACTCTTTTCAAACTTTTGTTGTTTTTCAACTTTGAATGCCAGCTTGCTCACATCATTTAAAGACCAATATGGCTGTAATTGAAACCACTTTATCAATCTCATATTTCAGACCTCATAAGTATCTTGCAATGGTTTGCTCTTCCGGTTCCATAAGCTCTCCTTTTAACATCAGATTATCGAATTCTGCAGTGTACTCCTCCACACTAAGATCTTTTTGCTTGAAATTATGAATTTTAAGAAAGATCTCTTGCCTATAATTGTGAGGTAAATATTTTCTTTTCAGCTCCCTTTTCATTTTTTCCCATGTCACGATTTTACTCTTCCCCTCACATTCTCTTTGTTTCTTTAGATTTTCCCACCAAAAAGATGCATTCCGTCTGAGTTTGAGTGCCATAAGTTTGACCTTCTTTTGTTCTTGTGGTTCATAAAAATCAAAAATTCTTTCTATTGTATTAAGTCAATCGATAAAGTCATCAATATTTATTTTACCTTCAAATTTTGGAATCTTCAATCTTGGGTTATATTTATTCTACCACTCATCTTGGACTTCATGCCTTGTATGAAATCTTCTCGATTCCTTTGGATGAGGAGGTGTATCATCATCAGAAGTAAATTCATGGACATCATTTTCATGCTGGTTGTGTCTACTTCGAAGTTCTTCAATTATTTCATTTTTTTCTTGCAGACTACGCAGTAATCTTCGTAGCTGCAGCCTCAACGATTCAGCATCGTCTTCATGGTCACTACCTTCACCAACTATATCTTTTCCATTCCGCCTTGTCATGATCTATAGTCTTTAACTCTAATACCAAACTGATACCGGTGTGATGCAGAATGGAGGGGTAAAGTAGAATAGATCTCGAAAGAAAATCGATAGTATAGTTTTTTTCGGATAGAAAATGTACAAACTCACGATAATACTTAGATAAGATTGAAAAAACAGCTCACCACCCAATTTAAAATCACAAAGGGATACAGAAAGTTCACCACCCTAAGGAAATTAAACAATGATACAGAACTGAAAATAAAAGACTCACCACTCAAGGAAGCATCCAAGAGATACAGAGTTTAAGCGAGAACTCCAAGAGAGCTTCTGCAAAATATTATCGGTTTTCTAAAGTCCTTTCTAAGCCCTAAACACCAACATAAGTACTAGTACATGAAACAACCCTTCATGCATAGGGAATTTCGAAATTAAGTATTCACAGCTACTAACCAACTCTTTTAATGCATTCCTTGGTCACGAAGAAAAGCACTTTGAAACAGCTTTAACTTTGTGCGGGGAATATGCTGATGAGCTATCATATTTGAGTGGACTGAATTGAAAATTATGAAACATCATTGTTGGTTGAAAAAAATTTCATATCATAATCAAGATTCATATGATCAAATTATGGTAAATTAGACACTTTCGTGTCATATATTGATTGCAACAGATGGATGAATAATCTAAAATAAATCAAAAGGGCTTATCATGTCTCTAGAATTTTGCAATAAGTCAAACGGAAGACCATACTGTCACATACTTTGGAGTCGACCAACCATTCATTTACTAAATGGACTTAGC